ATACTCCAATCAGTGATTACAGGAGAACTTTTGTTTAATGAGAAAAGATAGTAGACAGTTGAACCAGGACAAAGAATATAAGTACAATGATTTGAATTGAGATGAAATAAATAAAATAAAATTAAGAAAGTTAAAAGAGGGGAGAAGCTATGTAGAAAATGTAGAATAGTAATAAGATATGGAATGGGATATAAAAATGAGCATGAACTTGAATTTGTGTCTGTACGAAGAGATGTAACCCAGGATTATGCTGCTTTCAAAAAAGATGTTTTACTTGTATTTCTTTTCTTTTTGTGAAAACTCAAAATAAAACTTACACACAAAAAAAGAAAGAAATTGAGGAATTAGCTGGTAATCTTTCCAAAAGCAAAAGCTTGGAGCTCTAAATATACCTCAAAAATGTTTTTAGTAATATCAGTTATAAATTATGTATTCATTTTCTTTAAGATACCAGACTTTGAAATGACATGATTTTAAAGAAAGTCTACCATTTATTGGTTCCATAAATGGCTGTTTAAAAGAATTTGCTTGTGCCCTCAACTGTCCATGCAGCAAGAGAACAATATAGTTCTTATAGCAGGAAGAACCATCTCTCTTGCAACTTCTGTATGGTTACTTTAATATCCACCAGAGAAAGCAGATTTGTGGGAAGCAGTGCAAACATGAAAACCAAAAAGGGATTACCTGTGGATATGATGTGGGAGGCAGCTCAATGCTTACTCATTTGTAACACTATTTAGTAAAGAAACCTGTATAACATGGAATCCCTTTGGCTATGGTAAATAACCAGCTCTATTCACAAACAGCTTAAAAAGAGACTTCTACTAAGCCACTATCTGTGATAAGCAACAGGAAAAAGGAATGGAAAATTAATATTCTTACTAGTACTGAACAAAGAGGTGCTTAAGATGCACAGGGGCTTTATAGTCATTATTTTTGAAATGTCATCTATCTTCCCGGTGGTGGCGGGGGGGGGAGGAGAGGATGATGATACAGGACAGGATTTCATCTGAACTGGTGATCCTAGGGCTAGGCTGTGGCCTTTGGTCTGTGCCCAATAGTCCAACAGTCCTAGCACCACTACTGAGTAGCACAAAACAGCTCAACTATTAACAGCCATTAATTGGGGTCTCAAGTTTAAGAAGCTATTCTACTTACCCTTCCCAAGACTTGGAGAGCACTGCATTTTTCCTTGCCTATTAGAACTCTCTGAGTATGTTTCTCTGGATTCCTTTCACGCTCCAAGGAGAGGTTACCAAAACATTTGAAAACTAAGACCACTGAATACACACTAGGAGAGAAACATGCTGAGATAATAAGAGGCACAGAAAAGGCAGAGGTGAGGATTTTGACCTTCACATCAAGACTGGTAAAATTCTACATCTCACCTATCACACTCCTGGTGCTTAAAATTTGATGACACATCCTTTGGGAGGGGTAAATTCTGCTCACAAATTTTAGTGCCACTTTTGGAAACCGATTTATGGAGCATCACTTCCTGCTTAAGCCAGTTTATATATGAGACTAAATTAAATAACATTTCCTTCACCATATTCTTGAAAATATCGTTTGGAGAATAACTAGACAACTATAATGGGAAATTATTAGTCTTTTCACAAAATTGCACTTCATATTGTTCCTTGGGGAAACAAGGATATTGAAGTTCATTTTAAGCCATTCTTCAGTTACAATACAGAAATACCCTTATTCCTCTTTCAATACAGTGCTATGTCATTTTTCATGATCACAATAAAAGCAAAGGAAAGAATGAGAAAAAAATACAAGAGCCATGAATGTGTCCCAGAAATTAAATACCCAGTTTTCCTCAATGCAACGTGGATTGAAAATCCTTCGTCACTGTAAAAAGAAATGTATGAAAACAAGTATATAAAAGTCTATGGAATTAAACTAATACATCATCCTATAATACCTACAATAACTAAGAAATTGTTCTTAAGGACAAACTACATATTAAGTTGAACACATACTTTTTAATGCTGTTTAAACTGGTATTTAGTTTGAATAAAAAATTGTCAGCCTAAAGCTGACGATTCTTGATCCCAAACCAATTCCCATCAGAAATCACCTTTGACTTCTACTGATTATGCTGATTATAAGTCTTTCATAAACAGTAGTTAAAATGTTTTTGTTCCCATCAGATTTTAGTAGAACTAAATGCTTAATTTTCATAGCTATGCCTGTTTTATTTTCTTCTGACATTGAATGTTGTGTTCCATTGTATTCCAATTACATTGTTTTATGACCTTCAAGACCTTTTATGGAAATAAAATATTGAACTAAAGGGCTGTGATAGTTCCATGTCAAATATTTCTATTTGATTGTGGTTATTTCAACATTGATGTGCATCAAAAGTAAAGGGAATACTATCAACAGAATGATACACACAGTGTGAAGGTAAAAGCAATGTAGGAGGGAGGGGGAGGGAGTGTTGTGCAATGTTGGACCACACCTTACACTCCAGAAACACTTCCTTCCTATACAAATTAAATGGGAAAACTCTAATCAGAGATGCCATGGAAAATATCAGAGCAACAAGAGACGTCAGAAACAATGTCCCTAACTACGATTATAAGGCTTTTGGAATAATTTATTTCAAAAGTATGGGGTGCATAGTGTATCTTGCAAACTCATTCAATTTTATTTATCAAAATTTTGAAATTTTCCATCTCCCACATAGAGGGGCTCTGGCTAGTATGCAAGTAAAATATTTTTAAAAAGTGTGTAAAATGTAAGAGGCAAAGTTGAATAAAAATCAATATTAAAAAGTAATTAAAAGGTAGGGAGGCTTTCGGGGGTGCTAACAAACCCCATAGCTGGGTTATCCTGTGAGCCCCAAGCAAGGCAGCAGTCATTTTTCATATGTTTCTAGGCCAGGAGATTGGTTGCCTGCCTCACTTCTGGGATGGAAGCGATATTCCATAGGACAATTGCAATGGCAGAGAAAGCTCTCTTTATGGCCCACCAATTGAAATTCTTTAACAGAGGACGTCTGCAACTTCTCTGGAAGAGTGGTTGGGACAGGCTGATATAATGGGGAGAAAAATGGTTGTGTGGGTAACCTGGTCCTATGGTATGTAGGACTTTAAAAGTCATAACCAACACCTTGAATTGGACCCAGAAGCAAACTGGGCCCCATTGCAGCAATGTATAGCAAAATGTGCATATTCAAGGAAACATATATGGCAATACCTTAACAGCACATTCAGTGTAAAATAGTTATCAGCATGGGAAGGGTTATAACAGAATTCTATAGGTTCCCTAAGACCCTGAGTGAGTTTAGAACAAAGGGATGATTGAAATCAAAACTGGTCTCAACTTTAGCTCAGCCATTTTAGCTCAGCTCAGTTTTGGTCATCACAATGTAAAAAAAGATGTTGAGACTCAAGAATACAGAGAAGAGCAACAAAGATGATTAGGGGACTGGAGGCTAAAACATATAAAGAACGGTTGTTGGAACTGGGTATGTCTAGTAACTAGTTTGATGAAAAGAAGGACTAGGGGTGACATGATAGCAGTGTCTGATATCTCTGGGGTTGCCACAAAGAAGAGGGGGCCAAGCTATTCTCCATGCACCAAGAAGCAATGGACAGAAACTAATCAAGGGGAGAAGCAACCTAGAACTGAGAAGAAATTCCCTGACAGAACAACTTGCTTCCAGAAGTTGTGAATGCTCCAATACTGGAAGTTTTTAAGAAGAGATTGGACAACAATTTGTCTGAAATAGAATAGGATTTCCTGCCTGAGCAGGATGTTTGACTAGAAGACCTCCGAAGTCTCTTCCAACTCTGTTATTCTGTTCTGTTAGTTGTATCCAAAAGTATGTCTTTTGAAGAAATGGCAGCTGTCAGAAGAACAGATTCTTCTTCCCCCTGCCTTCCCCCCAAGCGCTTTCAAGGGTTGGGAATGATCCAGAGCAGATCTGGGGCGCATCTGGCAGAGTGCAAAATGGAAAAGAACAAGGAAACTTCCATGAAATGAGCACAACCATGTTTATGTGATGTTGGATATGGCCAATAATATACAGCACAACAATTTCCAAATGGTATTCTTATTAAGGGGTTGTAGAGACTGGAGGCAAAACATAAAACTTTCCTGTAAAACATTATGTGTTTAAGTGTCCTGTAGTGGTGAAGGCGTTGATCAGGAGCAAAGAGACCCAATCCACCACAGAAAATCACTTGGAAATTTGGGCCAACTTACACTGCAAGATGTTTTTCTGAGGAAAAATAAACAGAGGGAATCCTATGCATGCAAACTTGACCTCCTGAAAAAAAAAAAACCAAGATGAGCCATCAGTATGATACACATTTTAATGAAATACCTTTGATATCAACTAAAAAGTGCTCCTTAAAGAACAAGCATGATAAATAATACTCAGAAGCCCCATTTTCCCCTCCTTCATTCAACCTTCGATTTTTTTTTTTTAAAAGGAAAGCCGGCATTCAAAAAAGATGCAAAACTCAAGACGACCAGCTTTCTGGTGTGCTTGGAAGGTGAAAGTGCGTCCAGAGGGACCAGGTGCCCGGCTAGAAAAGGAAAGATAAACTCCCCCACTGACTTTAATTCCTCACGGGACGTTTATGTGATGGGTTTCCCCGCCAAATCCCCTCGGGATCGGTAACATATCAAGCAGCCTAGCCCGATAGCCTCGCCAGGCGCTGCTCCTGCTCCCAGCCCGGGCCGCCCCCTCCTCTTTCTCGCCCTCGCCTGCGACTCAGCCGAAATGGCCCTTTAGCCGAAGGACGCTAATTATCCTAGCGAAGCGGGAGAAGACGCCGGGAGTTTGGGCCTCCCCGAGCTTCATTTGAATGCCCGCCACTCCCTTGGCACCCGATGGCCCCTTTGGTCACCAAGCCCTCCCTCCCCCCCACCGCTCCCATAAAAGAGACTCCCGAGGCCGGGACCCCCGACGTGGCCCGCATGCCGCCGCGGCCCCTCGCCCGCCTAAGCCTCTGTCTCAGGAAGCGCCAACGGAGAGCATGGATGCCGAGACCCCTCCTTTCTTCTCCTCCTCCTCCTCCTCCTGGGACTGGAAGGTCGGCGGCAGCAGCGGGTCTCTGGAGCTGGGCCACAGCTCGCCCGCGCAAAGCTTGTCCCCGTCCCCGTCCTTTGACTCGTACGCCTCTTCGCCTTATCCCCTGCTGGTGGACGTGCCCTGTGGCCCCGGCGGCGGGAACGAGGCGGGGAGCAGCCTGAGAGGGTACCCGCTCGGGGAGTTTCCCTCCGTCTATCTCTCGCGGCCCGGGCAGGGCCAAGGTCACAAAGGGCCCAAAGGGCGGATGTCGGTGCAGCGCAGGCGAAAGGCCAGCGAAAGGGAGAAGCTGCGGATGAGGACGCTGGCGGAAGCCTTGCACACGCTGCGCAATTACCTCCCGCCCATGTACACGCAGCGGGGCCAGCCGCTCACCAAGATACAGACGCTGAAATACACCATCAAGTACATCGGCGAACTCACGGATTTGCTGAACACCGTCAAGTAAGGACGAATGCCTTGAAGGCTTTGGGGAGCAGCTATGCCCTCTCTCTGGAAGGCAGCCGTCTGTCCGACCCCGCCAGCTCCCCACTTGACAGTCATCCGGTCGTCTTTTCTAAAAGTGACATTTTTACGAACAAATGTGGGTCAAACCCCCGTCCACAGTGGGAGGACACAGCCATGCGGCTTTGTTGGGGACAGTGCGGAAGCGGTTTGCCAGTTGCTTTCTTCTTGGGATGTGTCTTTTTCATCTGCCATCCTGGGATTTTCCTCGTGGTCTCCCATCCAAGTGCTGATCTTACTTAGCTTCCAAGATGGGTCAGCTATTACCAGTTGACCAGAGTTTGACAATTATGGACTTGTTCAAAAGACAATTTGGGTCATCCGTTATTCTAAGGGGTAGCTCATGACAAGAGTTGGTGGTATTTTGGGACGCTGCCCAGAAGGCTCATGTTGGACAGACATTGAATCAAACGTGCTGATGGGACTTTTTTTTAAAAAAAAATGCAATTAATGTTAGTGTGCCAAATTTAATCTAATTGGGTATGTCTTGAAGTGGCAATCAATGGATTTGTTAAAAGCCCTATGTATTTTTTTTTAGTTATGTCTGTTGTTTGGGAGGCACTTTATATCAGCAAGAATATTTTTATGCTTATATATTTCAAGTTTCAATGGGAAAAAGCCTAAAATGTATAAAAAGTTGGTTCTGATTGGAGTTACTTGTGTTACAAGCCTAGTGTAATTGAGTTTACATGGATGTCAATTGCATTTTTTATCAAATAATAATCGCTGTCTTTTTTAGTATGGGACATCATCAGTCTGGCCCAAACAGTTGTCTTCATAACATGGAGGTTAGTTTTAATGTATATGCATTTACTGATTTTGTAAATACAGAACTATTTTTAAATTGATAATAGGGTTGCTGAATCTCTCAATCATGAAAGCCAGGGGAAAGTAAGTTGTGGGTGGGCTGGTGTTTTTTATTTTTGTTTGTAAATATCAATAATCCATACAAGGGATATGCTATCAGCGTCCTAAACTGGATATAGTCCAGCTAGGATTAATTCCAATGAAAGCAATGAACTTAATCATGACTGGAAAAAATTTCATTGACTTCAGTGGAAATTATCCTCAACTATTTATTTTTCCCCTACCAAGTGTTATACACATTTCTCTATAAACCTAAGTGTTTGCCAATAGCTGGTTACAACATCCCAGTTGGTTTTAGCATGATAGAAATCGATCGTATAAATTCATTTAAAATGCTTCTGTAGGGGAAACTCTAAAATCCAAATCAATATGTATGTTTTCAACTCATGTGCAGACAAATTGTGGCTCCTTATGCAAGGATATATATATATATATATATATATATATATCATGCATTGTTGAATCTTATGGGCACTGACACATTGATTGCACACCGTTCTTAGATGAAAATGCCTTTGAACAGGGGCATTATCAAATCTGAAGCAACCCTACCCTGGTAATTTGATTGCTGCTTTATTAGTTGTAAGGCATACATTCTGCATATTTTCTTTATGCTTGAGGATATTTTAGACTGCACATGCATGTGTTAAATGCCAAACAGCAGCTTTCATGCTTGAGTTCAATCTGCCCATTGCTGAGTGAGCAGGGCTCCCTTGATAGACGGTATCTATCCAGCTGATCTGGCAGCAACACATTGCTTAGGGAGTTCATCACACACATCTCACTTTGAAAAAGATAACAAACTTTCAGCATGATAACAAATAAGCTATTTTCCTCAGAGCCATCCAGGGTAGGCTGGGCTGAGATATCAGGAGAGGCTGAGATTTGTGATGCTGCATTTAATGTATAGTGTATCTAACTCCAGTCTTTTGGTTCCCCTCTGAATGTTGATTGTTATTTTTCCAGAGAACATGCTGGCAAGTTTTCTATGGTATTACAAATGAAGGGGAGGAAAGTAGATTTGCATACTCACAAATCATGTTTTATTCATGTATATTTCAAAAGTATCTCAGGGCTTTGTGGACAAGCATAATCAGCCGGAGAGAATAAAAGAACAGAAAAGGTTTTGTCTTAAATAAAACATCATATAATCTCTTAGTCTTGATAAATGATTTCAAGTGATAGCAAAGCTCTGCAATGACCTAAAACCTGTCATTACAATGCAGAAATTCTCCTTAGCATAATAGCTGGTTTCATTTCCAAAATCATGCCCTTAGCAAAGGCTATTTTCTTTTTAGAAAAGCTGTGTGTTGTTCCATCACACGGAGGGAGAGTGCATTTCACTTCTTCTGAAGCTGAGTGACGGACTTAATTCAACATAACATTGAGGAAATCAATGTCAGAGGCTACATATTGTACATCACAAGGTAAAAAGAAAAGAGAAAATGTACATTATCAATTTTGATTGAAAATAGATTGCACATGACCCCCCCCCCTTCCCTCCTTCCACCCCCATAGCAACCAAAACAGATGAGAAAGAAGAACTGGTGTGCTGCTGCAATGCAGATGGAAACTGAAAAATAAAAGAAAGCAAGTCCACCTTTTCCTTCCCCTGGAACAGTAGTCCCACATTATATAGTCCATGATGTCAGATGAAAAAAAGAATGATTAGAAATAATGGTACAGAGGGATAGGTTTTCCAGGGTGTCTGATTTGCACTTACTAGCACATCCAATTGCATGATCAACAGTTTGGGTTAGTTATTTCGTTTTCTTTTTACCTTTTCTTATATAAATATAATGGACATATTTTTTGTATTTTCTCCTTTCATATGTTAATTACAAACATCTTGACTTAAAAAGAATGGCTTTAAAGAAAGGGGGATACCGTCACTCCTTCCCACCGACTTTTCCATTCTGTATGGGATTTTTCCTCAAGATATTAGTGAGTTGCGGTTATTATGATGGAGCAAGAAATAAACTTGAAGGATGGTTTTCTAAAACACATACACACACACACACACACACACACACACACAGAATTTTTGACTATAGCTAAGGAATTACATCTGCCAATGAAACTTCTCTTGACAGAATTCAAATCTGCATTTGAGGGGGTGTTGCCAGTCATGAAGAGGAGTGAAGAGCTAAGCAGGGGAAGCTGTAGGAGATGTGTACACACACACACACACACACTGAGGACCTAGAAAGAGTGCAGAGAAGAGCAAGAAAGATGATGAAAGAGAGTTTTGAATCTAAATCATAGAATGAATGGTTAAGGGAACTAGGTATGTTTAGACTAATGAAGAAAAGGCTCAAGGGAGACATGACAGCAATCTTCTAATACTTGACAAGACTGTCACAAGGAAGAGGGAGTTGCTTTATTCACCATCCTGATGGGCAGAAATTCATCAGAGAGAGATTCAACCTGGAAATATGGAGGAATTTCCTGACAGCAAGAATGATTAGTCAATGGAATCGCTTGTCTCACGGAGTTGTGGGTGCTCCATCATTGGTGGTTTACAAGAAAAGATTGGACAGCCATTTGTCCAGGATGGTCTAAGGAGTCCTACTTTGGACAGGGAGTTGGACTAGAAGACCTCTAAGGTCCCTTCCAGTCCACGATTCTAAGTATTTGGAATAATGTTAGATCATTTGGCCAACATTTCAGTAAAGGTTGCAGGAAGGGGGGGGGGGGAGGGAAGAGATATTGATTTGTTTATAACTTATTCTAGCTTGCATTTTATAAAAAAAAAGTTATGTAGGGAAGAATACAATAATAAAACAATGCAAATGTCAAGAATTAAAACAATGCATACACACTTAAACGACAATACTTTAAAACACCAAATTACTAATCATCATCATCATCTTCATTATCATCATCATCATCATCATCAGGGCAGGCTAATAATGACCAAACCAGATTGTGGCATGTTGAGTATGAGTTCAGTCAATGAAAGGATCTCAAAACAGCCCAAAGCGGATAGAGAGAGGGTGGTGGATGGGTAGCCTATAGAAATTGTATTTTGGGTGGAAGGGAACTGGGGGTAGGCATGGAAGGAAAAAAGAATTGAATGTCCAGAAGGAGGAGAAGGGAGGGGTGGAGCAGGAGGAGAAATAGGAAGAGAAGGAATGGAGGAGGAGAAAAGGAAGAGGAAGAGAAGGAGAAAGAGAATGAAAAGAGAGGAGGAGAAAGAATCCATGCTGCAAATTTGTTAAAGGTTCCACTTGTTAAAACTAAACTAACTTTGAGACTGAGGTGGCCTTACAGTGGTTGTACAGCTACAAAAAGTTTACTAAAAGTCAGTGGGTGAGTATTAAAATATTAGAAAACACCCAAAACTTGCAAAGTTGGGAAGGGGTAGAAATTAAGAAAGAATGGGGGCGGGAACCAACTCCAAGATAACTGGCTTGATTTAAAATAAACATTTCAAAGAGGATGGAGCGTGCCCTATGTTGCTAGGTAAGTGGGGAGGAATGACAATTACCAAAACAGCAGGTGTGTTCCCCCCTGCTCAGCCACAACTCCCCCTCCAAAAGCAGATTTGGATTCTATGGAGAGGAGTTCCACTAGTGTAGTGGCTGCAATTCCTTAGTTATAAGGTAGTTAATTTTTTTGTTGTGCCTTAGAAAAGCATCCTTCAAGTTTATTTCTTGCCACATCATAATAACCTATACTTATGAATGTCCTGAGGGAAAATCCTATATGGAATGAAAAAGTCAGAGTGGGAAGGAGGGATGTGTGCCCATTTTTTTGAAGGGTCGAATTAATCTGAAAGCGAGCCTGGCTGTCTATGTGGAAGGACCCCTCAAGGGGCAAGTTGTCTCTCTGACTTTTTCTTTCTTTCTAAAAGCTTAAATGAGAAAAAAAGTCATCAGAGAGAATGCTTGCCATCAGTTTGAACCCCCATCTTTTCACTCCCTTCTCTGGTGCTTTCCAGGCAAGTTGTTGGGCTGGCTGGGGAAGATGGGATATATAGTCCAATCGATCTAGAAGGCCACAGGCTGGGCAAAGTGAAATGATCTGAATTTCTACCTGTGTACTATACTAAAATGAACAACTGGACCTTTAAAA